CCGAATATACTAACGGGACTTCTTTTTTTTTGAGAGTACTCGATGACCTATCGCCATTTTAATAGCTAGGAGGTTCGTTCAAACGTCATTCGATAGAGCTTGAAAAAATAGGAGGTTTATTAAGCGTAGAGTTTTTGAGAGCTATCTCAGGTGAGCCGGTATAAGGATTTTCGTGCTGGTTTTTGCTGATCGTGTCATGCAAAAGTCACGTGTCATGAAAAAAATCTTTTTTGGTTTTTTTCGAATAGTTTTTTATGATTTTTGAAGTATATTGATGACTTTTATATGCGTTAGATTTGCATGGTTTATTTCATGGTAGGGGACACGTGACCATCCCAGCTAATCATCAGTTCATGTATTGATGTTATGGTCTTATTCAAGGGAAATGTTATATTTAATTTTCGGTTAGCTTCTAAATTTCAATTTTTCTGCTCGATGGTGGTGTTTAAGTCTCTGGTTTATGTATGGGAAGATTGTTGTTTATTCGTTTTGGTATCTATATTGGATTACATGACGTAAAATAAGCGATATTGGAACTTTCATTGCTGCTTTCATGAACTGAGTGGTTAATTTCATGTTTTAGTTCTACATGGATGACTGTTACTAGATGTTACAATATATGATGTGGTCGAATAACTAGTGTGTATCTGATTGAAATTATATGAATATTTTTGTGTTGACTTTCTCAAGAGTTTTGAATTCTAATTAGAGCATCGTTTCGATGGATGTTGCATTTCATACTGATTTCGGTGTTATTATTCAAATGAAGCTTGTAGAAATTCCTCTATGGTATCATCGAGTGTTGTTTCTCATGAATGGATACTTTCAAAGGATTCATTTCCTAATGCTGACATATCGAAAGAAACATCGATATTAAGATTTATTTCATGATTGATACAGAAATGGAACCTCTTTCTTTTTAATGAACGAGAGCTGTATGAGACTTTGTGTGTATGAAATTTCATTTCCTAGTACTAGAAACTGATACTAGCGCTATATTTGACTGGTCTTATTTTGAAAGATATACAATTAAACTAAAATGTATTACTCAACACAATGGTTTTGATGATAAAAACAGTTTGTCAATATATTTTCTAGATCAATTCTTAAAGAATTAACGTAATAATGGATTGAGTAGAATGGATCGATTGACGGAAGATTAATATAGTATATAAATGAATGCGCCGTTAAATAATTAAATTTAGATCAAAATGAAGCTAATCTTAATATTTTAGTCAAGGTAACTCATCGAATTACTATTCATTTAATTGAAAAAGCTATTGTTCGACTATATATTTAGTACATTCGACGTATTTTGATTACTATTCTCACATATGTTGACGATTTAAGATGTCAACCATGAATTAATTCTTTTTCATATATAATTTTCAGTACAACAAGAAATCAATTATTAAAATCTGATATCTAAAAGAATTCAATATATACTATATCGATTATTTTATGATTATATTCTTGAAAGAAGAACCAATCAATTCATGATTAGATATTAATAGTGATAAGGGTGACATTGGAGTAAAACAATATCCTATAAATAAGTATTATACTACTTTGAACTTCTTAACAAGCAAATTTACTTTTGTAACACACTTTATTTATGATTTCTTTGAAAATTGAGATCATTCGAATAAGTGTAGAAGAGTCAAAACTATCTGATGATGACTATCTAAGCAATCATCGAAATCTGGATCATGGTATGCTTGACGAAACCTCATGTGGTGCTCTCAATTTAGCATATACCATATTAATATATACTTTATTATTTTGAACTTATTACCAATGGTTCTTAACTTCTTCAAAATTATTTTGGAGGGTTCCGATATATGTAATAATAGAATTCTAAAGATACCTGACGAGTTCCTTGAGAAAGGACGAAACTAGTCGTGTCGATCCTCGGAATTCTTTTAATTTTCTATTTTTATAATTTGTTTTGAATTTTCTTTCGAGAATAATTCATAATAACTTAAGCCATCTGACGAGACCCTTAAGCAAGGTCGAAATCTAGATCATGGTATGCTTGACACACCCACACCCATAATCATTTTAAGAAAGGTTTTACTTAGTCTTATATTCACTTTGTCTGCGCTATGTTTTTCTACATTAATTTAGAGTGTTGTTCATTTAGGTAGCAGTAGATTGCAAAGAAACCTAACACAGAACCAAACAGGATCAAAACATTTGATGTAATCTGATATGTCAATCTCCAAAACTTTCAATTATATACGATTACCAATTGCATTTCGCGGAAAAATGGGTATATTATCTTGCATTCGTTTTTATCGTGCTTGAAAACTTCAAGGACAATAAACACTTAAGCCTCAATCAAAGCGCTTCATATCGACCTCAAAATCAATTTGATTAAAACTCATCCGTTCTCATCTCAGACCGTAACAGAGATAGCCTTAATCAATCTATTTTGCTATTGTTTTCTTGCTAATGACTACAAGCGATAGTTATAGGGTTATACACAAATTATTTCCTCGGTATCAGTTATCAAGGCTATATCGTATTTCGTATTTCAATCTCCTAAGTATTATTCTATCTACTGTTCTTAATATTTCAGATAGACTGTTATTTTCGAAGCGAATAAAAAATACGTGACGTGGGCTCTCGGACCATGAGAAACAACATCTGTTTATCTCTATTCATGACAAAATACCCTTTTGCGTCGCATATTCTTTGTTGTTCGACAGTCGCCGTATATATAAAGTAGAAACACAACCATAGTACAACACCATTCATATACTTTAGTGTATTCATCTATCGTTCTCTTTTCAAGTATCGAACAGCAATAAATAATAATGAAGAATATCAGTCAATTGATTTGCTTTATTGTCTTGGTGATGACAAGCTGCATGGCATGGGACATAGAGAATGAAGCTGGAGGTGATGAAGATTTCCCTCAGTTACTCACGAGAGCTATAATTACTGGTTGTGTTAATACTACTATTACTCCTAGTTCTTGTGGTTCTAGTTGTACTGTTACTTTTTACCGTGCCGGTAATACGTATGGTATAACTCTTGCTTCTGGTAATACTCCTATTGGTATTACTGGTGCTGTTACTGCCAGTAGTGCTATAACGTTTGGCGTTTCTAATGTTGGTGGTATTAGTACTGTTACTATTGCTCGCATTATTAATAATGCTGGTATTCCCGTTACTATGAGTCGTCCTGGTAGTGGTGCTATAACTGTTAATCTTTGTGCTCCCAAATAAGGCAGGTATGTTGTGTCAATATATTGTTTCGATGATAGCTCATAAAGAGAATGTCGCTGATGGTTTATGCGTTCCTTCATTCTCCTTTGAGATTATCATTTGGAATCCTTTATGATACTGAACTAAGTTACTATTTTTTTTCTACGTAGATGATATGACGCAAATATACATCTGCACCGAAAACCCAATATTCCCATCATATTATCAACATCATCGAATATTATCGATTGATTTCTTTCCGTTTATACTCGCATTGTCATCTGATTAGTTTTCTCCTCGCAAATTGTCAACTGTTTTTCGAGATAGTGACAAGTTCCTATTCTCAAGAAATTGAAATAAATTTTTGCAAGAATTAGTGTATGGGAATCAATTTTGTAGACTTGAACACACAAGCTCAGACAACAGATGTCTACTATTGGATTTGATAAAAAAATGCATTTATATACATATGCATGGATGTTATGTATTGTCTTGGTCTGGATGAAGTTTGATTAAGAAATTCAATTGTGTATATACAGACTGTCCCAAAAGTGACCAAGCAAGAAAAATGTACATCTTTGCCATTCTTTAAGAGAATTCGATAGTTTTTATTTTATTCCATAAGCAATGGTTCATAGGTGCTGTTCGATAGTGCAACTATTCACACCAGTATCAAAAAAATTGATCTTTTCAGAGTATACTCTAAAGTAATCATCTTCCTTTTGCATGGCTTTGATTATGGTTTCGATTGTGTTCTTCAACTCTTCAATATCTTCTACTGTAGTCTTGTATACGTTTGTTTTGATGTAACCCAATAGAAAAAAAACAGTGATATTAAATATAAAGATCGACGTGTCCAAGCAAGTGGACCACTTCTATCCATTCATCTTCGATCGAAATTTTCAAATAATCATACAAGAACTTCTTTTAAAAAGTGCATCGAGCACCATCATGTTGAAAATGTTTTCCTTCGTTGAGCTCACAGTGAACGTCGGTCTAGAAAAGGATTTATCAAAAAATTTTATAATATAAAAATTATTCTATTAAATCTTGAAGATATTCTCTTTTATAAAATTTTACATTTAAGTTTAGTTATCAAACACAAAGCACAGTTCAAACAATTATTTGACGAGGCGTCTGAGAAAGATCGAAACTACTCGCGACTTTTTTTTTCATGATACATAACCAACAGAATATATTCCTTTTCTTGTGATTACTCGAAATCATATACGAATGATTTCTCATCTAAAGAGAACCCATTTTTATATATGAATTTAATATTTCGCTATCATCTTACAGCAATATTTGCTAAATATAATTTTTTTAGCATCTAAGATCCCCTAAGCAACCACTTCAGGATAGTGATGGTAATCCTCCTAGTTCAGTTTTCAATTCTGAATCAGAATTCGTCGGGATCAAGTCGATATCTCATACCGTTCGAATTTTAGACCGAGAATTTGAAAGTGTTCTCGAGCTATTTTTATTGAAATTCAAGATTTGTGAAAACCCTTTTGGAACCTCTCAGGATCTTCGAAAGACATTATTTTACATCACTTATCCATGCTGAGTTAGAATCCGTCGAGATCATCTCGATATCTATAACCGTTCTCATTTTCGACCCAAATAATCTTCATTTTTCATTGTTCAGCAATTTTTTTATTTTTTTATTTCTGAAAACCCTTTGAAAATCTCTGATGATCTCAGAAAGAGTCTATTTTATATCACTTTTCCATGCTGAGTTAGAATCCGTCAAGATCATCTCGATATCTTTTACCGTTCTCATTTTCGAGCCAAATAATCTTCATTTTTAGCTGCAAAGGAATTTTTTTCAAATTAGTTCTCTGAAAACCATGTTGAAACCTCTCTTCATGTTCGAAAGAGTGTTTCCTATATCACTTTTCCATGCTGAGTTAGAATCCGTCGAGATCATTTCGATATCTCATACCGTTCTCATTTTAGTCCCAGAAATTGAAATTTTATGTTAAGCCTGTGAAGCAATGTTCAGGTTAATTTTTATGTCTAAAAACGTCTTGAAATTCTATTCTGAGATGATCAAAATACAATATTTAATATGTGTTCTTGATGCTGAATCGGAATCCGGTGAAATCATTTTGATATGTAGAACTGTTTTCGTTCAGTTTGGTAAATAATCAATGGATTTTCGAATGTTGCAAATGCATTAGCTTATTTTTTTTCTCGAAAACAACCGTATAAATAGTTCCTGTTTTTTTTTTAAATATTTATGATCATATATTACTTTTTAATAGTGAAGATGAATATGTTTAAATGATTGATATTATTTACGGTCAGATAGTGTGTTGCGATCAATTTTTGTTAAGTGACACAGTGTAATCAATGTATGAAACTGAATGTGTATAATTATTTATTTTAAATTATTTTTACCGGATTGAATTATAGGATCGTGGGTTTAAGTTTTCTTTCTAGAAATAAAACAAATACAAGTAATAGTTGTTGATGAATCGATCAATATGAATATGTTGAAATATCATTTGCTTCATATATAGATGGCACTCATTTCCATATTTCCTTTTTGTCAAATGATTTCCATTTTTCGTTTCTCTTTTCTTTGGTTGGTTCTTTTGTTTTCGTTTTCTTTCTTTGTCTTTTATATAATAATTTTAAATAAAAGATTTTAGTTTTGTTTATCATTTGATTTATTATTTATTGAGCATATAATAAAAAGAAAAAAAGAGAAAAATTAGCTATCTTTTCATATTAAATTTATTTTCATATGTCTATAAAAGACCGACGAATTTCTGGGTTGTTTCGTTTCTTTAATCTATAAATATACATAAAGAATAAATAAATTTGAATGATTTAAAAAGAATTTACTCGATAATATTCAAAGAAAAATTAAAATCAACATTATTTTTCTTCAAAGAAATTCTATAGATAAAAAAGTAAATTTTCTCTCATAGTCATATTCGAATTGTCTTCGCTTTGGAATAAAAAAAAAAGAATTAATCTTATAATCAAGGATAGTTCTCAAAATTCATTGATAAAAAAAATTTCTTCATCAAAATGGATGATTATGTAGTGCAATTCAATATTCTTGTTTTTTAACGTGTTTTATTTGATAATCTTCTTTATTTATTCACGGATGACATGTAATGAAATTGAATCAAACATAAAACAATGGAATGTCATCTCGTGATCGTAGCTTACTCGAAAAGTTATTTCTAATTGAACCTATTGTTGTCTTGATGTTAAAAGCATTGTACTATCGGATGCATTCATAATTATACCCGGAAGAAATTAGATCGTATCCATTAATATGGATGATCACAAAGAATTCGATAATGTTCGAAGGTATGAAAAGCACTGACACCTCTTTTGTTTAACCATAAGCTTCATTGATGGATTGATCATTATCAATCAGGCAATTATCTTTCTTTTTTAATGCTTTCTCTCGATCACTCTCTTCTATCTATTTCCTTTTTTTTTTTGTTCATTCAATTCAATGTTCTATCAATACAATAGTTGATTTTCGTGTACTATCAATTGGAAAATAGTGAATTCTTTTTATTTTTACTATTCTTCTACGATTCACTCTCTCAAAAAGCAGTATAAAAGCTCGATGTTCAATTGTAAATATTCATTATTTCATCGAAACATTTTCAACGATAATCTTCACTTCAACTGGTCTAACAATATTCGTCAATGATCAACTACATTCACTTCATCATGAGATGGCTAACATATTCGATGATGGTACACATGACAGAAGTCTTCGATCTTCATTACAATATGATATGAATTGTTATGTTCAAGGTATATATTATTAGTATCATTTTTCTTAAAGTAATATATCAAATGTTCTAGTTTGTCTCTGTTGAATTCCCAATAATCATTCTTAATACGACATCAATAGATTCTTCATAATTGATCAACGGAATCATCTTATTCGTTTAATAAAGGTAAGTCTTTTAATTTAAATCATATTTATGGTTTCTCTTTTTTTTTTATTAGAATGGATATATCAATCGTGTTCATTCTTTTTTTTCTTGTATAAAAATTCGTTGTTATATTGAAGAAAACGTTCATGAATAATTGCCGTATTTTAAAATCAATAATTATCGACGAAAAAGAAGAATATTATTCAATGCAAGTATGATATTGATGATGTCTCTTATTTATTTTGTCTTCTTATGAATCATCATTTAGTAAGCCAGTTATATGGACAGTGTCCATTTGACGAAAAGATGGCGCTTCTGATTGATATTCATATAATGAATACCTTTCTCAATGTCTACCAATATGTGCAACTCTAATAAATGAAGAACACAAAGAATTAATTTATAATTATCGTCCTGTTAATGATATTACTCAATAATATTTTTATTTTTATTTTTATCTCGTCGAATTTAATTGAGCAAATATTTATATGTTTTATTATATGGAAAATCACGTTTAATGTTCATCTGTGGTTGTTTGATTTCAATATTTTTTTTTTCTTAATTTCAGATTTTGTTTTCATCGACAACACTGGGAAACAATCCTTCAAAACAAAAATTAACAAAATCTATTCTAACGATACGGTGCTGATGGACGTTCAACGTGAAGATTGCACTATGAAAATAAAGAAAAAGAAATGCCGTGGTGATCGAAAACGTCAACGCTTCCGAAGACAACTCTATCGTCAAGGTTTAGATTCTGATACTGTCAAAAGGAAAGAAGAAGAAAAATTTGGTTCACAATCATCATCAATGAGAGAAGAATCACGAAGAACTGACAAACAGCCGGTTATAGAAAATATTGAAGTATACATACCTTTAAATCGAGTAAGAATTATTATCGCTTTATGATACATTAGTATAAATAAAATTTTATTATTTACATTTAGATTACATTATCCCAATTGAAAATGAACGATGAAGATGATCCAAATGAAAATAGTAATCCATTTGCAATAAAACGAAAAAGATTTATATTAACACCAACGCCAACAACAGAATCAAGATCAATACTTGATAAATCATGTAGTTCATCTATAGGATTACAACATAATTCTAAGAAATCAAAAACAACAAGAACATTAACTACAGCAGCATCATCGAATATTTCATCTCCTATTAATGAAAATGAAGAAAACATGAATGATGTAGAACAACCAAAACCACGTTATTTAAAAGTATCGGATCGAATATTTAAACAATTATTTGCCAATGCTATTGATAATGGTTCTCAACTTGTGAAATGTCTGAATACTCCAGAAAAAATCCAATGTATTCGTGAGGTAACTGAAATAACAAATAATTTTCATTTTAAGGATTTTCAAGAAAAATTATGGCAAACATATGCAACTATAAGTTCTACGGATAATGAATGGGAATCTAAAATCACAAAAAAATTTGCTCGTGAACATAACACATGTCGAATGTATCGTCCGAAAAAATCTTTTATTCAACAACGACAAATAATTATTGTCAAACAAAAACAACAGCTACAAATAAAATTACAAGAAAATTTAAGTCAATTATTAAATCAAATCGTCACATGGCAACCATCGATAGATGCAACATTATTATCAGATGCAATCGATACATGTGTTCGACATAATCTACGACGATTAAAAGAAGAATATTTATTTAAAATGGATATGATAAAATTAAATTGGGCTGATCAAAACTTAATTCGAAAATTTTATGAATTAATACCTAATGACGATGTTATTCAAGCGGCTAAACAATTATGGCAAATAGCAGCCGATGAATTAAGAACAAAAGAAAAACAGGAAATCTTTCGACAATGTATCTATCTGAAACGATTACCTAATAAAATAGAACAATTATTAAATAATTTACTTGATCATAATCGAAAAACGGTGAACAATTCCTTCTATGATGCAGATCAACGTGTTAGTTGTGATTCACGTTGCTTAAAAATGATTAATCAATGTCAATTCAATTTAATGTTAATTTATTTGGATGAATTTACTATGTGTTTAGATCGTTATGAAAAAACTTACCAGAAATTAAAAGATCAATTAAAGAAAAAAAATCGCGAAAATCCAATAATTTACACAAATATACTCATCGATCTCATCGAACAACGTCGACAGGCAATGATACAACGATTTAATCGTATTCGTCAATATCGTTTGAAGACTTTTTTCGACCAAGCTCCGGCGGTGCATCTCAATTAAAAAAATTCAATCACCGTCGGAGCTATCCATTTTTAATCCGTACAAAAATGACCAGTACAATACCATTTATTGATATCAATATTCGTTTAAATCTCAATGAGTTATCTATGTTAAAGAATGGCCGTAAATATATTATACCATGTCAAAGTTATTTTAATCGTCAACCAAGAAACGACTTGGCCAAAAAAGAATATGAACGAATCTCAAATATAGCAAAAGAATGTATTGGTAAACATCAAATGTCAATTACTGATGAACGAGCTAAACAAGCCTTTCCTGAATTAGAAAAAATGATTCAAGAATTATATACAAAACCACTACCT